AAGAGAAGCAGAAAGACGAACCACGCTCCTTTCTCTACGAGAGGGCCGTCGCCTGAGAGAAAAGGAGGAAAGAGAGCGCGGGGGCCCGCGGAGACAGGCGGGACTACAGCCCCCATCGTGCACCGCGGGACGCCTTTTTCCGTCGGGGGTGGCGGAGTATCCCGGCATGCCCCGCGGCGCCGCCCCGGCCCTCCTCGTTGCCGGGCAACGGGTACTCAACAGGATGGCGCGGCCCGGGGTCCCCTGAGGGGCGGCGGCGGGGAGCCCCCTGTCTCTGGCGCCATGCAGCAGCAGCAGCCCGGCGGCGGCGGCGGCCTCTCGCCGACCAAGACGCTGACGTGGCGGGACCTGGGCGACCAGGCCTCCCGGCAGCGCTCGTGGATGACGGCCCCCTTCGTCACCTTCTCCTCCCTCCTCGTCGGCCGCCAGGATGACGACCTCCCCAAGGAGCTGGAGGAGGCGGAGCGGCCCGGCCCGGTCTCCGAGGAGGAGGAGGAGGAGGAGGGCGAGGAGGAGTCCACCGAGTCCGAGCCGGAGCCCGAGCCCGAGCCCATGGAGGTGAGGGGCCGGGCCGGCTGTGCGCCGCGACAAGGAGAATTACGGGAGCGCGGGGGTCGGGGGTGGCGAGGCCCCGCTACAGGGAGGATTACGGGAGCGCGGCGTTTTGGCGGTGCGCTAGTCCCGTCATTACGGGAAGGGAGCGGGGGGGGGGTGTCCTGGAGAAGGGGCGCCGCTGCAAGGGAGATTACGGGAGTGTTGTTTTTCGGGGTGCGGGCGCCAGTCCAGTCATTACGGGAAGGAATGGGGCTGTTGGAGAAGGGGCGCCGCTGTAAGGAAGATTACGGGAGTGTTGTTTTTCGGGGTGCGGGCGGTACTCCAATCGTTACGGGAAAGGAATGGGGCTGTTGGAGAAGAGGCGCCGCTGCACGGGAGATTAGGGGAGTGTTGTTTTTCGGGGTGCGGGTGGTACTCCAATCATTACGGGAAGGAATGGGGCCGTTGAAGTTTAGGCGCCGCTGCAAGGGAGATTACGGGAGTGTTGTTTTTCGGGGTGCGGGCGGTACTCCAATCGTTACGGGAAAGGAATGGGGCTGTTGGAGAAGAGGCGCCGCTGCACGGGAGATCACGGGAGTGTTGTTTTTATGGCATGGCCATTGAGCTGCTCTGACCAAATGCCATGTTTCCTGGCAACAGGAAGCATGGGATCAGAAAGATGTCCCAGGGGAAGGCATGAACCCTTTAGAAATCAATATTTCTATACAAGGTGGTGTCCCATTGCCTGCCTCTGCGTAGCAACCCTGGGCTTTCTTGATGGCCTCCCATCCGAATGCTAAGGGCCGACCCTGCTTAGCTTCTGACAAATGCTAAGGGACGACCCTGCTTAGCTTCTGAGATGTGACGAGTTCGGCTAGCCTGGGCCATCCAGGTCCACGGCCCTCTGCATCTATAAGGAGGAGGAGGAGGAGATTGGGTTTCTACCCTGTCCTTCACTCAAAGTCTCAGAGCGGCTGACAATCTCCTTTCCCTTCCCCTCCCCACCACAGACACCCTGTGAGGTCAGCGGGGCCGAGAGAGCTCTTTCGTGGACTGCTCTTTCAAGAACAGCTCTGATAGAACTATGGCTTGCCCAAGGTCACATCAGCAGCTGCAAGTGGAGGAGTGGGGAATCAAACCCGGTTCTCCCAGATCAGAGTCCGCGCACTTAACCACTACACCAAAGTGGCTACACCAAACGACCAGGCAGATCTACCCGCTTTGACTGTTTTAGCACCACTGAGCTGTGCCTCTGTCTCTCGCCCTCAGGAGGAATTTGATGGCGTGCTGGACGAAGACACTGTCGCCGGAGCCCTGCACAACCTGGGCCGTTCAGCCCCTGGCACAGAACATGTCTACCTCAATCTCTCGCTGACCGTGAGTTGTCTTTTGCAGTCCTGCCGCTGATCTGTGCCCCTTCCTGCTCGAAACCTCAGCATGGCCTCATTTGGAGACAGGGAATTCTTGATGTCCCTTCTGCTAGAGCACCTGATCGTGGTGACCTTGTGTTTGCATCCCAGCTGTGATATTATTCCAGTAGAGTGTGCTGTGTGTCTATGGGGAGGGGCCGTGGCTCAGCGGTAGTGCAGCTGCTTGATATGCAGAAGGTCCCAGGTTCAATCCCCGGCATCTCCAGTTAACGGGTGATGTGAAAGACCTCCACCTGAGTCCCTGGAGAGTCACTGCTAGTTTGAGTAGACAACACTGACCTTGGTAGATCAAGGATCTGATTCAGTATAAGGCAGCTTTGTTTGAAACAGGGGTCATTTCCTGCGGGAGCGCACAGGAGCGGAGCTCCGGCAGTAAGGAGCCCAGGAGGCGGGCACATGCAACAAGCCCCGCCCCCTGCTCCCAGCAGCCCTCAGTCAGAGCAAGAAGCAGCCAGGTAAGTTGCAGAGCCCCCCCCCCGGCCCGCCTTCAGGTACAAGCTCTCCCTCCGCTGCGAGGACAGATCTGCACGTTCCCCCCCCCCCAATAGCTAGCAATCCAAAAGAGTCCAGTGGAGCCTGAGCGGTGGGTGTTGCCTTCTGACACACTTCCAGTGATGCCAGGGGGCATGGCATTTGGAAATAAGTTATGCTAATGAGCTCCTGCACCTCTTTTTCTACGAAATGACCGTGGTTTGAAAGTTCCAGTGAGGGGAGGGGCCATGGCTCAGTGATAGGACATCTAGGTCCCAGGTTCAATCCCCAGGATCCCCAGTTAATTGGTGATGTGAAAGACCTCCACCTGAGACCCTGGAGAGCCACTGTCAGCTTGAGTAGACAATACTGACTGTTCAGTACTGGGTTCCATGGATGAGCAGGACCCCCAAGCCTAGTGATCCGCGGCGTTCCCTCTAAGCTGAGTGAGTGTGAGCTAGCTCACAGTTGTTTAGCCTCCGGCTCGCACATTTTTGTCTCGGCTCAGGAAGGATGGGGCTCCAGGGCACATTAATGTATGCAGTAGCCAAATCGCTTGCTGACTACTTTAATGCCAGTTGCTCATAAAGTAGAACTACTTTAATGCCAGTTGCTCATAAAGTAGAATTCTTGCTCACAAGACTCCACAGGTGTTTAGTCATGGCAGCCACATGAAACGTCTTTGGACAGCGCTGGTTCTTCGGCTTTGAAACGGAGATGAGCACTGCAACCCTAGAGTCGGACTCGACTGGCTTTCGAGCAAGGGAGACCTTTACCTTTACCTAAATAACTTTAAATCTTAATACCATCGACCACTGAGAATACCTGGTTTTTATTAGAGTTGTATGGCACATATGTGTTATGTTATTTGTCTTGTGTTGTAATGTGGTTTTAATTGTATCATATTTTATACTGTTGGAACCCGCCCTGAGCCCATTGAGGGGAGTGTGGGCTATAAATCAAATAAATAAATAACAATTGCATAGAAATGATTGAACTAGCAGCAGCCCATTCCAGTGTGAGCCAGCACGGCATAGTGGTTAGAGTGTTGGATTAGGACCTGGGAGATCCAGGTCTGAATCCCTATTTAAGCCACGGAAGCTCGCTGGGTGTCCTCGGGCCAGTCACGTGCTCTCAGCCTAACCTACCTCACAAGGTGGTTGTGAGGAGAAAATGGAAGAGAGGGCGATGACGTGAGTCTCTTTGGGTCCCCATGGAGAGAAAGGCAGGGAATAAAGCAAGAAATGAAGAAGAGAGAAGAGATTGGATTTATACCCTGCCCTTCACTCAGAGTCTCAGAGTGGCTTACAGTTTGGTGTAGTGGTTAAGTGCACAGACTCTGGTCTGGGAGAACCGGGTTTGATTCCCCACTCCTCCACTTGCACCTGGCTGGATGACCTTGGGCAAGCCATAGTTCTGATAAGAGCTGTTCTTGAAAAAGAGCAGTTCCTGTCAGAGCTCTCTCAGCCCCACCTGCCTCACAGGGTGTCTGTTGTGGGGAGGGGAAGGGAAAGGAGTTTGTAAGCCCCTCTGAGACTCCTTTCGGTAGTGAAGGGCGGGGTATAAATCCAATCTCCTCTTCTCTTCTTCTTCTTCTTCCCCCTCCCCTCCTCACAACAGACACCTTGAGAGGTAGGTGGGCCTGAGAGAGCTCTTTTGAGGACTGCTCCTGAGCGAACAGCTCTGAGAGAATTTGTGACTGACTCAAGGTCACACCAGCAGCTGCATGTGGAAGAGTGGGGAATCAAACCCGGTTCTCCCAGATTAGAGTCCTTGCTCCTAACCACTACACCAAACTGGCTCTCTCAAGCTGCCAAGAAAAGAAAAAGAGATTGGCTTTATACCCCACCCTTCACTACCCAAAGGAGTCTCAGAGCAATTTACAATCCCTTTCCCTTCCCCTCCACACGACAGACACCCTGTGAGCTAGGTGGGGCTGAGAGAGCTCTTTCGAGGACTGCTTCTGAGAGAACAGCTCTGAGAGAGCTTGTAAGTGACCCAAGGTCACACCAGCAGCTGCATGTGGAAGAGTGGGGAATCTAACCCAGTTCTCCCAGATTACAGTCAGTGCTCCTAACCACTACACCAAATTGGCTCTAATTCCATGCCGATGTAATAGTTGGGAGAGTTTGGCCCTTTCTTAGCAGACCGGCCTGGGATTATCTTTTGCCTTGTGCCTGGTGCCTCCTCGAGAGGAGGACCAGTTATGCCCTCGCTTTCTCTTCCCGCAGGACCGCTTGCTAAGCGATGTCAGCGTCCTCTCCAAATACATTCACCTCGAGAAGCTGGATCTCTCCCACAACAGAATTACTGGTATGTGGCCGTCGCTCCTGTAAATTTCTTGGTCGTAAATGCCCTTTCAAATTAAGGTGAGGGGAAGGCAGCCAACCAGGGCAGCTCTCTTATTGCGAGAAAGCAATTCGCGGCTTCGCTTCCGCGGCTCGGCAGAATAGGCCGGCTATCGTGGAGAAATATAGGAGTGCCCCCCTCGAGCCCATACAGAAAGCCATAATGACAAATGCTCAGAAAGTAGAACATAAAGATTATTGTCCGCTTTATTATCTGGAAATAAAATGCAAACAGGCATGTCAGCTCCGGAGCTTGGGTTAGACATTAGGAGACGTCTTGGACGGAGTCAGTCCGACGGTTTGCGGAGCCCCGAGACTGTCTGCAGCAGCTGACGCAGGTGCTCCAAGGTCATCGCAGAACTCTTTCCTTAACTGCATCAGTTAAGGAAATACCCATGTTGGAAATACCCATGTTGGATATTTATCAGAGTCAACAAAGTGCGGCGGAATAACTCCACACAGACACATGTGTGTTTAACTTCTAAGGAAAAGTTTACTTCAAAATTAAGGAAAGGATTATAGAATCGTAGAATCATAGGGTTGGAAGGGACCTCCAGGGTCATCTAGTGCAGCTCCCTGCACAATGCAGGAAATTCACAAATATCTCCCCCTCCACACACACCTCCAGTGACACCTGTTCCATGCCCAGAAGATGACAAAAAATCTCCAAGATCTCCAGCCAAACTGGCCTGGAGAAAAAATGCTTCCTGACCCCAACGTGGCAATCAGCATTTCCCCGGGTGTGTAAGAAAGGGCCACAGGAACTAAGCACTGAGGCAACCCTTTCCTGCCCCCCCTCTCATGATCTGCCTCAGTTCACAGAATCAGCATTGCTGTCAGAGGGCCATCGAGCCTGGAAAGAAAACAACAGCAGTCTAACCAACTCATCTTTCTAGTTCTCATCCGCTCCATGTTTTTTCTTTGTTCCGTCACTGACCCCAGGGAACGAAGGAATGGAAGTTTCCCCCCAATGCTCCACCCCTTGTGTACGCACAGAATAGCATGTACTATCTCCAATATATTGATTAGCCAATACTCCAATGTTAAGGTCGCCCCGTTAAGAATAAGACCTCCCCCTTTCTGGTGGGAAGAATCTACTCTGCACCCGATTGGTTCTGTGCTAAACCTGCTAGTAGTAGCTTACAGAAACTGCAGCTTAACCCTTTCACGACTGAAGGGATGACACTTGCAGAACCCAGCAACCCTGAAAGTTTGTAAGAATCAGAGCAAAGTTCGGGTCCAGGGGCACTGTTAAGGCCAACAAAGTTTTATTCAAGGTGTACGCTTTCGTGTGCACGCATGCTCCTTCAGATACACTGAAATTTCACCCCCGAGCTCACTGGGATAGGGTGGGTTATATGTGCAATAAATAAATAAATAAATAAATAAATAAAATATCAACTTAAATCCCTTGAAAAGAGGGTTAGACACATTCGTGGTCCCTCAATACCTGTGAGCCACAAGGGTTGACCTCAGGGCTTTTGGCACCCCTAGGCCATACAGCACCTCCACGTTCAAAGGTAGTTTACCCCTGAATGCCAGTTCCCGGGGAGACCTTGGTCTGGCTCTGTGACCCTGATGTGGGTCTTCTGGGGGACATCCAGTTGACCACTGTGGCAAATGGTCTGTGGGGGAAAATTACCAACTGCAGGATGGGAAATTCCTAATTTGGGAAGGCGCTTGGGGAGGGGAGGGACCTTAGTGGGGTATAATTCCCTAGAGTCCACCCCAGGCTCGTAGCCAGGATTTTTTAATTCGGGGGGGCCCCCACACAGACACCCCAACCCAAGCACCAAGAATACAGAGCATCCTTTGCCCCAGACAGAGAGCTCCTTTCTATACCTTGTGGCTAATAGCCACTGATGGACCTCTGCTCCATATGAGAACATAAGAGAAGCCAATGCTGGATCAAGCCAGTGGCCCATCCAGTCCAGCACTCTGTCACACAGTGGCCAAAAACACCAGGGGCCATCAGGAGGTCCAGCAGTGGGGCCATGACACTAGAAGCCCTCCTACTGTTGACCCCCCCCCCAAGCACCAAGAAGACAGAGCATCCCTTGCCCCAGACCGAGAGTTCCTATCTATACCTTGTGGCTAAGAGCCACTGATGGACCTCTGCTCCATATGAGAACATAAGAGAAGCCAATGTTAGATCAGGCCAATGGTGCATCCAGTCCAACACTCTGTGTCACACAGTGGCCAAAAACACCAGGGGCCACCAGGAGGTCCAGCAGTAGGGCCAGGACACTAGGAGCCCTCCCACTGTTGCCCCCCCTCCAGGCACCAAGAATACAGAGCATCACTTGCCCCAGACATAAGATCATAAGTGAAGCCAATGTTGGATCAGGCCCATCCAGTCCAACACTCTGTGTCACACAGTGGCCAGAAATACCAGGTGCCATCAGGAGGTCCACCAGTGGGGCCAGGAGACTAGAAGCCCTCCCACTGTTGCCCCCCCCAAGCAGCAAGAATACAGAGCATCCCTTGCCCCAGACTGAGAGTTCCCATCTATGCCTTGTGGCTAATAGCCACTGATGGGCCTCTGCTAGGAAAAGACCTCTGATGGGAAATACCTCTGCCCGAGACCTTGGAGAGCCTCTGCTGGCCAGAGTAGACAGTACTGACTCTGATGGACCAGCAGTCTGATCTGGTGCAAGGCAGCTTCTTGTGTTTATTCGCCACAGACTCCTTAGGAAAAGGGGCAGGATAAATAAATAAAAAGTTGCAGAGGAGATGTACAAAGGATCAGTCTGGCCATTGAGCTTTGTTTCTGGGCGAAGCAGGCTTGGAGGTAGGGCTAGTGTTGCCAGGTTCCCCTCGTCAATCTGGTGGTGGATCCGGGAGGCGTTCTGGGGGTGGGGGGCGACGTGCAATGTCGCCACCCAGAAATGATGTCATCGCGTCAGTGACGCCGGGGGGGGGGTGACTCTCTGGTTTTTGGGTGCAATTCAGTAGTGAATTCACCCTCAAACCATAGAGTTTTGGCCAAAAGCCAGAGCCTCCCCGTGCAATGTCCCCCAACGTGATGACATCACTTCCGGGTAACATCGTGTCGGGGACATCACGCCGCCATGTCCGTAGCTAGGGGCAGGGTTTCCCCCACCGGCCAACTGGTCCGTAATGGAGAGAACCCCCCAAAAGTGAGGGATCCCACGCTTGGCCCTGGGGGCTGGCAAACCCTCGGTAGGGCAGAAGGCCTGAGGTCCCTGGCAACACCAGGTAGGGATCTCAGATAACAGATAAAGACCTTTCCCTGCCTAAGAGGGAAACTACTCCAGGGGTTCCTGAAAAGTCAATAGTCAGGTCCAATCCAAGGGACAAGGTTCCAGTGGTTCAGTACTTGTGTCCACAAAACTGCTGTTTCTTCTGGCTGATTTTATAGCCAAGTCTTCACACATCCTTGGCAGTCATCCTGAAACTACTCACCCATCTCGTCAGTTGACAGCTGATGATGGGCCACGAGTCTTGCACTCCTCCTCCCTTTCCTGCAACTCAGCTCGCCTCTGACTGCATCGGCGCTGCAAGGGTGTGGGTGAGCCAAGTGGCCTGGGAGTGGCTTCTGAAAACTTGTTTACTGTTTCAGAACTACAAGGCTTTGGTTTGGTTTCAGCTGTAGAATGTGACTTCTGCTCAGCCAGTAACCTGATCTCTTGTTGCTTTCCTCTTGGCTTAGAGCCAGCTGCAGCCAGTTGTTCAATTAGAGGCTGAGTTGTTGGACCTCTGTGTCCTGCTGCTGGACCTCCAGAGGAACTGGTTGGCCATTGTGTGAGAGAGGATGCTGGACTAGATGGACCACGGGTCAGATCCAGCAGGGCTCTTCTGATGTTCTTATAAGGGGAAGGCCTCGGCCTCCCTGCCCTGTTGTTGACTGTCCAGAGGAACTGGTTGGCCACTGGGTTAGACAAGATGCTGGACTAGATGGACCACTGATCTGATCCAGCAGGGCTATTCTGATGTTCTTATGAAGGCCTCGACCTCTCTACCCAGTTGTTGGCTCACCAGAGGAACTGGTTGGCCACTAGGTGAGACAAGATGCTGGACTACATGGACCACTGATCTGATGCAGCAGGATTCTTCTGATGTCCTTATGACAGCCTCGGTCTCTCTGCCCTGTTGTTGGCCCTCCAGAGGAACGGATTGGCCACTGTGTGAGAGAGGATGCTGGACTAGATGGACCCTCACTGGTCTGATCCAGCAGGGTTCTTCTGATGTTCTTATGTGGGAGATCAGTTTTCAAGCATGCACTCCACCTTGACTTACTAGCCTTGGAATAATATGACAACTAACCCTTTTGGATGTTGCAAGGGGAAAGAAAACGAGTTAACCTGTTCAGGGGGTTTTACATAGGACCTTAAGGATATTACAGCTCTCTGGAGGTACAGAAAAGCTGCAGAATGTAGTGCCAGCCACAAAGCTCTGCTTCTAAACAATTTTCAGTAAGTTCCATTTACTGGGGGGGAAAGGTTTTCGCAGACTAGGGAGACCTGCAGGATAATCACACGGAGTGAAAACAATGGTGCAAATGTGCCCCATTTATACGTGCACACATGCTGTCAAGTCACAATTGAGTTACGGCGACCCCAGCCAGGGCCTTTCCAGGCAAGCGAGAAGCAGAGGTGGTTGGCCATCGCCTTCCTCTGCAGAGCCTTCCTTGGTGGTCCCCCATCCAAGTACCAACCCCGCGTAGCTGCTGAGACCTTATGAGATCAGGCGATACGACACCCCCTTCCCTCCGATTAATTTATAGAAGGGTGGGATGGGGGCTCTTCTTTTGGGAGTAAATTTTCAACCCGTATTCAAACGAAGATCAATTCTGGCCCGTTTTGCCTTCTTTCTCCTGCCCGTCTTTCTCCTTCTTCTCCAGGCCTCTCCTGTGTCAGTCACATGCCTTACTTGCTGGACTTGGATGTTTCCCATAACGAACTGACCACATACTTTGACTTCAAGCCACCTAAGAATCTCCAGGTAAGGAAGAAAGCACAGCTCAGGGGATTTGTGTCACCTTGATGGAGTTAGCTTCTGTTTGGCTCGGCAACGCATTACAAAATCTTAATGACAACCCGTGTTCCCTCTAAGCTGAGTTAGTGTGAGCCAGCTCCCAGTTTCTTAGCCTCCAGCGCGCGCATTTCTTGTCTTAGCTCAGGAAGGGACGGCTCCAGGGCAGACTAATTTACGCAGCAGCCAAATCGCCCGCTCACAACTTTCATGGAAGTGGCTGACAAAGTTGGATTTTTGCCCACAAGACACCACACCTTAGAGCAGTGATGGCGAACCTTTTAGAGACCGAGTGCCCAAACGACTTCCCCAAACCCACTTATTTATCGCAAAGGGCCAACACGGCGATTTAACCTGAATACTGAGGTTTTACTTTAGAAAAAACGACTCACACATTAACTTAAGACGATCCAAACAAAGTAAGGAAAGCAATCCCAAATGCTTTCATTTACTTAAAACTATTTGGCAGAGAATTCGATACTTTTAATGATGGTCTGGGCCTGGCTGGGGCGATGGCATGCGTGCCCACAGAGAGGGCTCTGAGTGCCACCTCTGGCCCCCGTGCCATAGGTTCGCCACCACTGCCTTAGAGGGAGCACTGATACTCAGGGCAAGATCTCTTTGTTTTGCCCTTGCTGCAGCTTATTACTAGAACTCGCGGTCGATTGTTCAGAAGCTTAGCAAGACCCAGGAAATGAAACCGGTAACAGCCATTTTTATTCAACCAGTCGGCTTCCACATAGCAGAATCGGGTAATATCAAAAGCAGACATGGATGTCAAGAAAGGACCCTGCATCCATTCCACCACTGTTGTCTCTGGAATTAAATTGGGGGAATCCAGTCTTCTGCAGAACGACATATGCACATTGGTGCCACGCGCACCAGAATCCCTGAGTTTCGGGTTGCCAGGTCCTACCTTCGTAATAGCGGGGGGAGTCCTGTGCCCCCCCCCGTCCAGGAGTTCTTCTGCCTGCACGCGAAGCGATGGCGTCACCCGGAAGTGATGTCATCACGCCGCGCATGCCGCCGGGTGACGCTCTAGCAACCAGCCTAAAATCTCTGTGGTACTCAGGGATTCTGGTACCATAGAGTTTTCAGGCCGATTGCTAGAGCGTCGAGCCAAGTTGGGTAGAAGGTTCCTCAGTAAAGCGAAAAACAGCCGCTAGGATGGGGTGCCCAATCTTTTGGGAACCTGTGGGTACATTTGGAATTCTGACATGGCATGGTGGGCGCCACAACAAAATGGCCGCCACAAAATGGCCGCTGCAGGAGGTGGAGGCAGACACAAAATGATTGCCTCCGCTGATGCTCAGTAGCATAGTGTAGGTGTTTGTGGTGTGGTGGCTGCCACCGCCAAAGCAACATTTTAAATAAACCGCACAGCCAATAAAAAGCCCTAACCGGCCCTACCCAGTTCCTAAAAACACTCTGTGGATGTGTTCAGACGGCATGCTGAGAGCGGTTTAAACTGGTCCGGTTCTGGATAATCGCGATCACACTTACCCCTCTCACCGTGCAGTCACGGCGCTCCCCGGCGTCTACACTACTGACGCGCGGGAGCGTGTGTTGGCGGGTTTTTAAATTTTTTTCTCAGTTTGCACATGTGCATAGGCACTCATCCATAGAATGGGGGGGCGAAACTACCATGGCGCATGCGCAGAACCACCAGGGCGAATCAATCCAACCCCTCTAACAAAAGACTTCCCTTTAAACGTTTGACCCGAAAATGGCCTCCGTGAGATCCCAAACTCATCTAAACTCTAAAACAAGTGACTGTTTAAATGTCGGTTTTCTAAATACGGTAGCGGAGCTCTGCCTATGCGCAACTCCGCTGGCGCATTAAAAAAATGGTGGGCGAAAAGCGGAAGCCTCGGCCAGCTTTTGAGCAGGGAGGAGGTTTAAACCGGAAGTGGCTCGACACCGGAGGAGCGATCACACAGGGGGAAATGTTGCTTTAAATGGGAGAAATGAGAAAACACCACTTGGGGACCTGGTAACAAAATACTCCGGGTTAAAGGGGTTTTGAGCCGGAAACCAACGGCTGGGGACGGGAGGCAGATGTTGACTGTGGGCTCGTGCATATAAAATCCGTTGCTGAACAGTCACAACTAGAGATGTGAAGGCCCGGAAAAAAAAAGGAAAAATTCGGGGGAAAACCAGGTTTTTTCCATTTTTTTCCTGAAGCCTTTTTAAAAAATTTTCAAAAAAATGGAAAAATAGAAAAAAATTAAATTAAATTAAAAAATTGACTATGGAACATTTTATTTTAACATGATGAATAAAATATTTTAAGACAAGGTGTTCAAATATTTTCCAAATCATTTCTAATATATATATATATATATGGTATCAGATTTATCTAATTTCTGTGCACTGAGGACAAGCAAGTCCTAGGTTACAAACTGAACTCTCCAATGCAAGAACAAGATGCAATTCTTCCTTTAGGAGGTGCGATTGTCAGAAGAAAATAAAAAAGTTTCAGTTTTGTTTTTGCATGTGGGTGGGTATTCTGTTTGTTATAATTGTTTGGATACACTACATTTTTAATATGCTAGTTGTGATCATTTTATGCCAAGTAAAAATGTCCATAGTCATATTTTATGTTCCTAAAGTAACAGAATTACTTTCAATCTAGAAAAGACAAAAGAAATGCTAATGTAGCATTTTTTTCAATTTTTCCGAAAATTTCCGTTTCCCCCCGAAAAAAATTGGGGCAAAACCCAGGTTTTTCTCGAGATTCAAAATTTCTGGAAATTTTACATCTCTATTCACAACACCAGATCAAACGGCACGTCTAAACGCACCCGATGAGCACCAAAAAAGGTGTAGATGTGCCCTGGCGCCCCCGGGCACCATGTTGGGGACACCGTGCACTAGGAGGTCTCAAGCGTCTCCCCCTCCTCTCTTCCTGTGCAGGTAGCAAATTTTTCGTGCAACGAGATCCCAGCAATGCGAGACCTTTCCGCCTACCAGTCACTTAGAAAACTCATCCTGGACAGTATCCTTTTTTTCGCAGAACAGCGTTTCTAGAGGGAAGTCTGTAAAGAGCCTTTAATTCAGCTCCGTGGGGCCTTTTCAACAAACACCCAGAGCTTTTGTGCCATGAGCCAGCTCAGCTTTGAAACCCTTCGAATATCGATCTCTTTCTAATCCCCCAGCCTGCCGTATCCGGGGGCGGGGGGGGCTCGGGGTGTGGGTTAATAAAAACGGATTAAAATCCGACGGGACGCTCAAAGGACCGATCTTCCAGAGGAGCGGCCATGCTAACCGGCTACAGCGAAAGTAACAAAGGAGTCGCGTGGCGCTTTACGGTACTAGCCTACCGTGACATGGGCTTTCACGGGCCGTGGGCCCACTCCATCGCGTGCCAAGCCTTCCTTCCTGGTTTAATTCTGATGAAATCCAACTCAAATCCCAAAGGCAAGCGAGTCGCTCTCTGGATCAGCCGCTCTTGTACAATCCTCAAGACAAGAACCCGGTGAAAAAGAGCTGGGGTGAGTTCAGGGATGGCCTCGTCGTACCTCGAGGTTGGGGCAGCTGCCGGGCCCCGGGACTTCCGGTGGGGCCCACTGCCCTGACCCTCCCCCCCCACACACCTCCCATGCAGTGTTTCCTCTAAGCTGAGTTAGAATGAGCTAGCTCACAGTTTTTTAGCCTCCAGCTCACACATTTTTTGTCTTAGCTCAGGAAGGACGGCTCCAGAGCAAACTAATTTATGCAGTAGCCGAATCACTCGCTCACAACTTTAATGCCAGTAGAATTTTTGCTCACAAGACTCCACAGCTTAGAGGGAGCATTGCTCCCATGCCACCTGTTTGTACGGGCCAGTCCCAACTGCCCAGCATGTGGGTGGCACACAGTGGCGGCGCTCCTGGCGGCAACGGCAGCGGCACACGTTGGCCAGTGTTGTAAGTGAAAGGTGGTGCAACTGAGCATGTGCGGCGGGAGGGCTCGCAAGTGGAAAAGGATGCATGAGTGAGTGGGGGGCATGCAGGTCTGGGAGTGGAAAGGAGGGTGTGGCGCTCTGGGTATTGTCTGCCCAGGGCCCCCCCAAAACCTGAAAGCAGCCCTAGATGAGTCAGCCCAGAGCGCATAGTTGACCTATGAAGAAAGGTTACAGGGGTAGACCTCGGGGCAAGGCCTGCCCTGCCTGGTGAAGCTCCACATTTTCTAAACATTTCTATTGTTTTCTGTTAACCTACCAGAAATTTTAAAAACTACATGAGACTCCACGATAAGTATATAAGAAGCCTCTGAATCCCAGTACCAGGAGGCAACATCAGGGGAGGGCCTTGGCCTCTGCCCTGTTGTTGGCCCTCCAGAGGAACTGCTTGGCCACCGTGTGAGACAGGAGGCTGGACTGGATGGACCCTCACTGGTCTGATCCAGCAGGGCTCTTCTGATGTTCTTATGAAGGCCTCGGCCTCTCTGCCCTGTTGTTGGCCCTCCAGAGGAACTGGTTGGCCCCTGTGTGAGACAGGATGCTGGACTAGATGGTCCCTCACTGGTCTGATCCAGCAGGGCTCTTCTGATGTTCTTATGAAGGCCTTGGCCTCTCTGCCCTGTTTCTGGCCCTCCAGAGGAACTTGTTGGCTGCTGTATGAGACAGGAGGCTGGACTAGATGGACCTCCACTGATCTGATCCAGCAGGGCTCTTCTGATGTTCTTATGAAGGCCTCGGCCTCTCTGCCCTGTTGCTGGCCCTCCAGAGGAACTTGTTGGCTGCTGTATGAGACAGGAGGCTGGACTAGATGGACTCTCACTGGTCTGATCCAGCAGGGCTCTTCTGATGTTTTATCAGGGGAAGGCCTTGGCCTCTCTGCCCTGTTTCTGGCCCTCCAGAGGAACTTGTTGGCTGCTGTATGAGACAGGAGGCTGGACTAGATGGACCTCCACTGATCTGATCCAGCAGGGCTCTTCTGATGTTCTTATGAAGGCCTCGGCCTCTCTGCCCTGTTGTTGGCCCTCCA